TTTTAACTGCTTCGAATGCCTGAACGATATTACTTTTTAATTGCTCCCGATTTTCATTATTTTCGACATAAACTATTTCTTTCACGTGAATCCATCAATAAAAATCTAAAGAAGTAAGATCTGGCGATTTTCTCGCCCTGGAAATCGTTTTAGTTCATAAAATGTGAAATTTCTGTTACCACTAAAATGCAAACATTCAGAATCGTTGGTTACAGTTTTGTTGTTCGACGCCGGTGATGACAATACCTACCAGTTCTCTTTCATCAGGTATTGATTTTCGAACGTGATATTCAGCATAAAAAAGGGATAGTACGAAGAGTAAAATAGTAATAGCGTGAGACGGGTTTGAGTTACGAGTTCCATATTTTGCCCGTCGCATGGGGAAAGAATCACGCAAGTTTTTCAGCATTTCCACACCCGAGTTCCCATTGAATTCGAGTACTTCCCTGCACACGACAGACATCAATATCGCTTTTTTTTCCCTCTTTAGTATAGAAACAATCTAAAGGGACTGTGTCTAGAGTTTCTCTCCCGTCGATTCTCTGCCACGTAAATAACCAGGCCTGTGTTCGAAATTATTCAGTGCCTTCGTCAATTGAAATCAGAACGATACGTTCTGCTCTGTTTTTCTTCGCCGAGGTTTTACAAACAGGCCACCCTTATTCTTAATGCATTCAATTACGATTTCGTTGACGATCGCGTGACACTTTTCGCATCCTCGAATCGTCAAAGGCGAATCGACCGCCGAGGTAATCGCCGGATAACAACTAGCAATTGACTTTTCCTGTTTTATTGATTGCTCACGAATGCCCGAAGAGATCTCAAATAAGAATGCAACAAGGGAACGAGAATAAAAAGAAATCTCCTTCGAACGCGACCTGTTTCAAATATAAATCCATTTAGAGAATGCGGTTTACAGATCTCAGCTCGATTATTTATATTCAGCTTTTAATACTCTTCGCGGTTGGTTCTCACCTGGAACATTGAATAATTTTAATCAACAGAGATTTGTCATCAGTCAGTTTAACCTCTTAGGCACTATGTGCCACTATAGTGGCTTTCGCGGATGTCATCTCTCAGTACGACGCGCCACTATAGTGGC